TCAGCATTGGAGCCCACCTAGCATCATACCCAGTGGGTACAAGAGGTNTCATAGTCCTTAAGACTGGAGAAAACTGCATAATGAGGAACTTCATGACATGTACTCTTCACCAAACATAATTAGAATGAGCAAGTCAAGAAGAATCAGATAGGCAGGGCATTTAGCACGAATGGGAGCGAAGGGGAATGCATATAGGATATTGGTGGGAAAGCCAGAAAGAAAGACACCACGGGGAAGACCAAGGTGTGTGCGAGTGGACAATATTAAAATATATCTTAAGAGATATAGGAGGGGATGGTGTGGACTGGATCGATCTGGCTCAGGATAAGGACCAGTGGAGGGCTCTTGTGAAAACGATAATGAACCTTCGAGTTCCATAAAATGTTGGGAAGTTCTTGAGTAGCTGCACAATTGGCGACTTCTCAAGAAGGACTCATCTACATGAAGTTAGTTAGTCCTTCTGAGAAGATTGTAGTCCTTCTGCTATTCAAACAATTCTNACTGGTAATAATTTGTTGATTGTGCTCTTGGCCTTCAAATAGGTCTACAAAGAAGAATATTTCCATATTGTAAGAATTCTATTCCTAAATTGTTCCTTTAAAAGTCAAAATCTAAAAAGGTAAACTGTCATCCATTTCAGGGCAAAGTCTCACCCATTATGTGCATCATACGACTGAAGGAAACAACGCAGAACATCACTTATGATATCTGACCTCAAGCCTAGATTCGAAATTGCGACTTCTCCTGTACGAAAGGGTACAGATAATCAACTACGACGCTCGGAAACATCAACAAAACTTCTCCAAAAGTGTCATATTATAATTATCATTTAATAACAATTAAATTTACTCTCTCGTATTAAGCACACACAGACCACTGTAGGTCGCGGTGCAAGGGCCGAGAAGGCCCACCCCTTATACATTCATACTATCTCGTATCATAGCTGAAAATTTAGACACAGCTGCTAAACGTTACCATTGAGTACGATAATGAGTCACTTAACTTCACCCTTGTCATCACAATTTGGGTCCTAACATTCAACCCCCAACTCTGAGTTTGGCCGTGTGACCTACGACCAATAATAATTAAGTACTACATTGCGAAACTCTGCTGAAGAACGTGTTGGTAATGAGGATATACTAATGGAAATGTGAAAATAATGTGGTTATTACTGATGGACGCAAATTACTCTGCAAATATTTGTGTTTGCCACTCGTAAACAAAGTCTATTACAGTGCTGAGTTCCATTTTAGGAAATAATTACTTTTCTTTATATTCTTATATATGAAATATAACTATAATTTCAATTTTGAAAGCCATAAATAGATCCAAATGTACAAGATAAAGATTTTTTTTCTGTGGCGCTACAGCCCCAATTTGGGCCTAGGCACACCTCCATGAAACTCTCCGTTTCACTTCGGTTTACTAGATCTTACGCATACGGTAGGACTCCCTGGACGAGTGATCAGCTCGTCGCAAGGCCTCTACCTGTAGACAAACACAGAAAAACGCACACAAACATCCATGTCTTGAGTTGGATTCGAACCCACGATCTCGGCTTCCGAGCGAGTGAATACAGTGCATGCCTTAGGCCGCTCGGCTACCGTGACCGGCTGCAAGATAAAAATACTGCAGAGAAACATATGTTCTCTGGCCTTATCATACTCCATACGCTACAGCGTGTCCCAATTGTATTACATAAGTAAGATTATTAATCTGTATTAATTTTTTTGTAGTTCATTCAACAATGCTGTCAGTAGTTGACTGTAGACTTGCAGGGTCGAAGAAGTGGAATGATAGCGAATATTTAATGTAGTTGGAGTGTTCAAGGTCTCCGTTTTTCTTTCCAGACCTAACAGCCAATCTGACTCATTGCGCTTAACCTGAATTTCTATTTGTAAGGTTTATTTTTACTTGTAACTGCTTTGTAAATTTCAGAAAAGTTTACGACACCGAAAAATATTTAATAAATTATCGTCATTAAGTGTTAATCACACTGAGACCAATTCTGATTATTTTATANCACGTCCATACCGTGGAAAGTTTATACAATTTTACGTAGATGTACCACGGAAAGGAACAGAAATTCAAGACGATTTTATCACATTAACAATTTTCAAAATTTAAGTGCGCATGAATAAGAAACCGCCGCCTGATGGAGTGTGAAATAAGGTTATTTATTCTCATTGTCTAACGTTGCTAAAATGTTGTAAAATTATATTTATCCTATAAAGACAAAATGACTCCGTCCAGTGTGACTATTTCAGTTGCATTACTTGAAAACTCAGCACCCTTACATGTTTCGGTCCTTAGGAATCGTCTTCAGAAGGAACATCGATACTTATTTGGAAACTACTATCACAATNATGAATTTTTTATGACATTCCAGGATAAATCCATCCTCTGTCGCTGAATGCCTATCATTGCCTTAAACTCATATGTAATTGCCTAGTTACTTTGAAGAGATATCTCCTCTCCTACCCGCATCTGCGTCTGACGTTACCAGTGAAACTTCACTTTGCATCTGTTGACACTTCAGACAAACCATTTGTAACTCTGCAGAAATTNTTGTGTTCCGAGTGCTAAATTACATACATACACACTGCCTGGAATACACGATATATACAAAATCCAATTTTTCTCACAATCAAAATCCTGGTATTAAGGCTTTTAAAGTTTTTTATGTTTATCCTGCTCCTCATAGCATGGATAAACTTACCGAATGAAGAGAATTTATGAGAGAGAAACTGAAAGAGAGAAAATACTTTAGACATTGTAAAGGTAAAGCTATCCCTGTAACAGGCTGTGGAGTCCCATAAATTTATGAGACGTCGAGGCTCCCAAATTTTCTAGACAGTCGGTTCACAGATGGCGATGAGGTTGTCAGCCTTATGCGCCGGCCGCCCTTTACCACCAGGGAGATTCCTGGTACTCATTTCTGTTAGAGGCTGAGTTGATCCCAAGGCCATAATGCGGCTGGAAAGATTAGGTAAATTGAAGAAAATCCACCTCATCGGATTTCGACCCCGCGACCTTCCGTCTTGTAA